CTGACTTTTATATCAAAAAGTTTGTTACGTAGACAGAGAAACAATTCTAGCAACTGTCTTGCTTGCTATGGACAAAATTCTCGGTTCCAACTAAAATCATTTAAGGAGAGAACACACTCTCTGCATGATATCGCAACTCACTATTAACCGTAAACGCAAGAGTGAACATATTTGTATTGATGATCAATTACCTATTGAGCATTTTACTGATGATATTATTGCAAACGAAGAAGAAGGACGAAAATGATAACAATAAGGAGTATAAATCGCAACCTAAAAGTAGGTTTAGAAGTGTAGACAATGTAATGCGAATTGTCAATGATCCGCCTAGAGGCCTCGTCTTCGATAAGAAAGCATTATCGGTTCTGCGTTTATTGAAATCAGAAATTTCGCGCCATCAAACAGATAGTTTAAACCAATTATAAACTGATAGTTTCATAGGCAATTCATATAGCAAATTCCTTAATCCTCTGGATGGAGAAGTCATTGAAGTGCTTAATTGCTTTCATCAATAAATTGTAATAATCCCTCAAAACCGATAGAAAAGGCCGAAAGCATTACTATCGGGTTTTCGAGCTTTGACTGTAATAAATACATCTAATTATACAACGGATTTCTGTAACAAGATCCATTATACGCAATTAGTATAAGGATATATTCAAATTGCTCTTCCGTTTTTGCTAATTAATCTAAGACTCTGGTTGCATAACATCAACCAGTTATGGTCTCAATAATGAAGGGGGGGATGGAAAATGATGTAAATAAACAAACCAGCGTTGCCTTAACAGTATCAGAAAAGGGAGCTGTGTGAACAATGAGATAATCCAATCCTGCCGATATGGCAATAAGTATAGATCTGACGGTTTTTCTGATTTTTGAGACAACAAGGAATTTGGTTAACAATCGGGACAAAAATGCATTCATCGACCTATGAAACTTTGGATAGAATATTGTATTAATTTGTGGTGACATTGACCTTTTACTTCAAATTCAAGTTAGTTTTTATGTCATAATCGTACAAAGTAATAAAATATAAAAAATCATCATATAATTGGATATTTTGTAAGCAAATTAAAAGTCCGGTATAAAGCTCACAATTCGATATACTGATTCTGAACAGTCTGTAATTGTAATATTTATTGTAATCGTACAGCTGAACTAAAATAAGACCCAATTATCCGACGCGAGCAGAGACTTAATCTATGTCTTTTATTTATTATTTAGCAGCAATCGAACTTTTGCCAAAAGCAATCGCATATTATTAAATATTTATATCTATGCTTAAGAAACCATATTTTAGCAATGTGTCGCGCAAAAAAATAGAAATTCTTCGAACAAGTATATATATAATTATTTGTTTGCGCATTTTTTTATGTAAACACTTACGGTTGTTTTTAAGCTGTCAAAAAAGTTTTTGCTCAACCATGCTTTTTGCTGTCAGATTCAACCACAATCAACTTGCAAGACTATTAGTGGCCTTCCAATAGCGATAGTCCAGCCCTAAATCCCGTAGGAAAATTGTGCCCAAAAACTGTGGGAAGTTAATGTGGTTTATAGCAAAGAATAAATGTTGTGCCTGATAAGATTTAGTTGGATTGATAAAATAAAAACGTAAACTAGCCATGGGAGGTCTATTAAATTGTGCCTCTGCTCATAAGCTCAATAGTTCTTTTGCCTTTTTTTTCCAAGACCCTTAATACTATACAGTATACTAAGATATTTTCGGCAAGTAAATAACGGGTTTCTATTTTCTAATAGACTAGTGACCTTTTTTAATACACCAATTTTAGAATTAATTTGCTAATCATATTATTATTACGTTTCTTTTTTGGCTGGCTTACCTCTAATTGTTGATGCTCAATTAGACACCCATTTTGTACTGTATGTTAGTCAAAAATTTATTTTTTTCAAACAACTTGCGTCATTCTAACACTACTATATTTGAGAGTCTTTGTTATGAATTGACGGATTTGATACGTTAAAACGTAATTTTAAAATTAAAAGACAATTGGGGTTTTAGGTGAGAAATAGTCGTCTTAAAATAACGCATCTTTCGAAATGATTCAGTATTTCTATAGATATTTTGATTCAGACTTTGACTTAAAACTTGTGACTATGAATGCAAAAATTGACAATCAGCACATTTTTCCGTATTATACGATAACATCGACTATTGTTTGACTTACGTGCAAAATAAGTATCCGTAAACTACTCGGAATAATTAGTTATCACACATGTAACGCCTGTTGAAACGTGGTCGGACAATATCGGTTATTGTGCTAGAAAACAATTATGACGGAATCATTCAAATACTAAAGCTAACTAATTTGATGGTATTGTCGCCTAGCTCAATTAAGAGGCCGGGGTATTCTGATGCGAATATCTCTTCGTAAAATTATTCAGCCGTGGTGAATGTTGTATAAAAAGTATTGTAAATTTTGTTTATCTGCACATTCGGTATTTGAGAATGACAAAAAGAGCCTTGTTTGTCTTATCAGTACGATCTTGAGTCAGATGACCTTGACAAAGGTAGATCATACATCAACAAATCCAGTTCATGGTTGGTACACTATCGGGATGCCTCCAATAGAAAAAGAAATGATACAATTATTGTTTGATATCGGTCAAATGGGCGTTGACTATGGCAGTTTATTTGTTGTAATAATGGGGGTATGCAATAACATAACCCGATAAATGCCGTGGCGGCATTTCGGGCGTTCACCCCATCAAGTGGTGATTTTCCGACTATCACCCCACTTTGCAACGTTCAGGCGTCTACAATAGACATGAATTAATTATCGAGATAATTTATTATATTTGGTCCACTAAGGATTTAAAAAATCAAAATGAAAAACTAAAAACAACCGCTTTCTTACAATTTAAAATGCAATTACCGTTTTATAAAAGAAAAAATTCGTACGCAGAATTTATCTGGAAAAGACTGGCGGTCTTTCCCCCGGTGATTATTTATTAATCAAAGTAAGCTTTTCAATGTTATGAATTTGTCTCTCTTACAGGAAGGTCTGCGTACTCTCTCAATTGATATTTTAAAAAAGAGGTTGAATAAAACGTTTACAATCAATTGAGTTTCTACTTGTGGTAAAACAAAAGCTTTCTCTTCTACATCAAGATAATTACACACAACTCACATTGGAATAAATACAAATTAAACTATTGAGGTTCAATTTTTAAATCAGCAAATAGTTCAATTCCAGTCAAACCTCAGTAATTTGACCTTTTCTTGAATTTTTCCAATAAGGAAGCTCTTACTGGTATTACAATTACCTTGTTACAGGCGAATCTTTCTGCAAGGAAAGCTGTTACTGATTCCGGCAGTCGAATTATAGATTGCTCTTCTTTCTAGTTGTCACTCCTGTTGGCTTAATTGTGTGCATTAGACTATATACATTTTTAGATATGTATTGACATAAATGTTGTGAGAAAGAGACCAGTCTTAAACCACAGAAATATACCTGTACCCAGCCAAGAATCGAATTCTAACAAGAAAAGTTACAGTTGTTCATAACCTTGTAACCAAATAACAAGACGTTATACTATTTAAATGTTAATTAAAAGTATGTTACAAAAATTAAAGTAGTCAGTTTACAGTATCGTCCACCAAATATTAAGTTTTGCAGATAAACAAATTTAGGAACCAGTTATTTAGAACGTGCGCAGACAATGCTAATTAGATTTGGTAATAACAAAAGAAGGATTGGAACCACCAGTTGAAAAAATTGTAATACGTTCACAAAACCAGAATAAATGCGTTTTCGTTTCAAGCCTAATGACAGGATAGGTGCGGCGAAAGAACACATGGCCCAACAAAATTTCAGAGCTTCGTCTTTCGCTTTTGGTCTAAAAGAAGTAAACCGTTGTATATGGACATTAAAAATATAGTAAGACAGCTGACCTTTCGCATTACATTAATTCTTTGATTATTATTAATGCAAACATGAACACCACGACTGAGAGATTACCATATTGCATACATCTATTGTACGATATTTGTGTACCATTTGTGTGATTTGATAAACATTTACCAATCAATTGCACACCATATACCAGATCTCGTGAAACTATAACGTTGTCGATTAGAATTTACAGCGAGGTCACTGTAAGGCAAGTTTGTAAAAAAATGCGCCGTTCATGAGTTTCTCACATTCACTTGTCCACTGTTACCATTACTGTTCTACGCTAGTCTAATTTTATATTAGACCGAATGGTTGTTAATTAAATTGGTCATACAACATGCATGTTTATCTACGCCTCGAGCGTTTTATTTACAGTATTGTTGATGGGAAAAAGTGACTATATTGTAACATTTCGGGGCTATGTAAATAGCGTTGGAAATAAATAAAACGAGCAATCTGATTTAAGTGGAAAGTTTTTATATTTATAAAGACAACTTCAAGAAACAAGTTTTTGAACTGATAACACAAGGCTATAATAATAATAATAATAATAGCGACCTAACCAATTTATTTTGTACCACCATACCTTCAATCGTTGTGCATCTGTATTCCAAGACGAATTTTCTGTTGCACGAGCCTGATACGATCCCGGCAGAGAACCGTTACGCAAATGTCTTGATGAACGAATGTGTAAGATAACGTGTGAGCCCATGAATAATACAACAGCAGGAATGAGTGGGAATTTTATTCAACAAAATGATGGTAATAGATAATGTGAATTTCTAGTTTGCCTTCCTTATTTATCTATGTATTAGTTTCACCCGTTGTTTCATGTAATTACAAAGTATATTGATTATTCATATATTTATGCATTAAGAAGTACAATGTGTTAATTTTCCATTATGCCGGTGCCTCAGATACAGGGTCCGGATAGAAGTAAAATGCTATAGCGATGATAATGTAAGTCGCAAGAAGTAATGCACCTTCCAACCAATTAGATTTGCCATCCTATCAATAAAGAATATTTATAGTTACAACCTTATCAATGAATATTGGTACTGTAAATGATTCACTCACCTGAATCAAATAATTCATTATCAATACCGAAACAAATAACAGCACCGTTTCAAATACTTCAAAGAATAGAGTCATTGGCTGATCGATAATCCAACCAAGCACAACCAAGAATGGAGTAACAAACAAAGCAATCTGTAGTGAGCTCCCTGCTGCAACACCAATAGCCAACTGCATCTTATTCTTCATAGCAACGGTAATGGCCGTCACATGTTCAGCAGCATTACCAACGATGGGAAGCAGAATCAGACCAACAAATGTCTTAGTAAGCCCTAAAGATTCGGTAATGCCCTCTATCGAAGATACAAGAAAGTCACCACACACAGCGACTATGACGGTAACCCCAGCCAAAAGAAGCATTGCAACAGGAAGGGTGAGTTCAGGTTCTTGCTCGTCTTCATCCTCGGTGAGATACAATTCAGTATGAGTTTTAAGCTAGGATGAACAACGCGGAGAAGATTGAGGTATAATGATTAATCGCATGCTCCGCGAGTTTTGAATAACTTTCTCGGCTTGAAAGAAGCTTACCTGGAATAACAAATACAACCCATAGACTACCAATAAAACTATTGCCGTATAGTGACTCAGATTTATTATTTCATAATCTTGTGTCGCTGGAATAGAGACACTGAACGCCGCAGGAATAATCAATGCGATACACGCTAATGCCATCAAGCTAGCACTTGTCTGTGCTGCTGTTTCGTTGAATTCCTGTACCTGATACTTTAGACCACCAGCAAGAAAACAACATCCCAATACAAGAAGCAGATTCGATATAATAGAGCCCATCACTGATGCTTGAACGACTCGAATTTGACCTTCTTTAAGAGCAATAATCGCAATAATAAGTTCAACAGCATTGCCAAATGTTGCATTCAAGAGGGCACCTATTGTCTATCATTAGTGAATGGATAGTTTAGGACATTTGCATTAGAATTAGTTTCTGACAAAGTAAATAGATTTTTTTACCTGTCCAGTACGAAGCGCGATATCTTCTGTGGCAAATCCAAGTAATTTTGCAAGTGGTATTATGGCAAAGAAGTTCAGAAGGAAGACCGCGGTGTCACCCCACTTCAAGAAATGGGCTATAAAACCTAATGGTATAAATACCAATAACACGTTTACCCACGACGCTTTTACTATTCTCTGCAAAGATTGTCGTGTTGTGGGTTCATGTATAAGTGGACTACTCTCTGTAACATCCACATTTCTATGAGTGTGCGTTGAAGACATATCAATGTTTCTGATTATAGAATTGGCCCCAGTTGCTCACTTTTATATAATATTTCATTATCAGTGTACAAATTTCCTGATTTAGTTATCTAAAAAAGAATGTGTTTCGGCCGCCAGGTCTGATATTCGTCCTCTGTAAAGACCCGGGTACACACATTGACTATTACTCGACCTTATTTGTTACTCAAAATAGAATCTTACATATTTATGAACGTGTTATTATAGCATGTTAATACTAATACATGTGTGTAAAAAATCAATATTCGGTAACACTCATCGCGGGTATTTTAGAATGGTTCCCAGATTAAGTGGCTAACTTGTTAAAACAATCTGAGAATCGCTCATTCAAAATAAATGGGGAACAAAATAGAATAAGGCCCCCAACCAACAATAAAAAAAGGGCTATGGATGATCAAAAAAATGTTGCCTATTGAATCGGGATTGTCTCTTTCAGGAACTTGTTTGCCATACTAATCTTGTAATATGGTCCCATACTGTTCCATCTTTATACGGTAAATAGAAACCGCATAACAATTGAGACTTTGTCGCTCTGCTTTCTAAACGCTTTGCTCGTTTCGTCGAGAGCATTAGCTTTCTAATGGGTGTTTTGTAATAGATATTATGTTTTGTCTATAGTATCCAGCCTTTCGCAGGTTCATCCCTTGATATGTTGAGGCCGTTGCTTTTTGTGCCTAGCCTATTAAATTATTTGAAAAAGAGAAAAGCGAGCGTTGCGTTGCTAAATTTTGCCAATCTTCACAAAGAGTTTTTTTTGACCTTTTTTTTTTTTTTCTTTCTTTTTCTCTTTTATTAATTATTGTTTTTCGAGCAGGATACTACTGTGGAAGCGTATGTGGTTTAGTGGTATAATTACCGCCTGCCACGCGGTAGACCTGGGTTCGATTCCCAGCATACGCAAACTCTTTTTTCTATATATGGCAGAGCATTTATCCTTACGAAATTATGGACTTAACGTTAAGCAGAAAAGAAAATTGTCACAATGATGTCATTATCATATTTCTCCTACTTCATTTAGGTCATTAAATACCCACCCTTCGTGTTCTCTCCCCCTGCTTTTAGGCGCATAGAATATGTATGTATTTATAAATATCATTTCTTGTAAGCAGGGGAGAAGTACGTCCTTTTACTTTATTAAGCACAAAATGATTTGTATGAAAAAAAGTTATGAAGTTAGGTAAGAATGTAAATGTATTCACGTATATTTAGAAAAGTGAATATTGACTTTTACTGTATTTATTGGTTACCTTTACAATCTCTATTATTATTATATATTAAAGTAAAGATTAGCAAAAATTGGCATTAAAGCAAATTTGGCAACATTAAAGCAAAATTTGACAACATTAAAGCAAAATTTGGCTGCATTAAAGCAAAATTTGGCTGCACTAAAGCAAAATTTGGCTGCACTAAAGCAAAATTTGGCAACGTTAAAGCAAAAATTTGGCTGCATTAAAGCAAAAATTGGCAGCCGTAAAGCTTTAAATTTACCGTCGGCGACGGTCGACCAAAGATTAGTCGGATAAGGATTATTACTTTTGTTTGATGAATCAACTGTTATTCTTTTTTCTCACAATGTGATACATTGTTTTTACTTTCAAGTCTGCAATATCTCTAATCCAATCCCTCCTTTGAATAACAGTTATCTCAAACAAGTTGTCTGAGCAGAGAGAGTTACACTTAGCAACAACAGCCACAATTAAACTAAAGAATGTGTGTATTAGTATCACTAACAAACTCCAAGAGTTCAAGCACGGGGAATTTCCAAATTAGGCATAATTCATGTTGAAGCGATCCGTTTAGATATCCCTGCCCAAAACTCTGATCTTAACTAATATTGTATTGATAGACATTTGGCGAAATGAAAAGAACAAAGAGAATGTATTAACATTGGCACTTCGATTATGCGAGAATCTTTGTCTTACCCGGTATTAATGAAAACAAAATGGTCAAAGGTTGATCTTTAAATGAACGTAATTATGGGATCTCAACAGGTTTGGACCCTGTTTGTAGTGTGTAACATGCAAGCGCAGATCTCTGTATTCTAAATGTCGTTCGCCCGATACTTCCAATAAGCTAAACTGACATAATTTTGGTGAAACACTTGGGCTATTAATGGGCTGAAATCATATTATCCCTTATTATTGTTCCAGTCCAGTTCACTTGTAACTTTCACTTTGTTAATAGTGTTTCTGACCTGATCGTCGCTGGCGAAGCGGTCACTCAGTAGTCACAACGAATACTGAACATCTGCATTCACATGAATAAGAATAGAGTATTTGAAATCACGAGCAATATTATTTAAAGCATTCAAAGTTCTATATACTATACACAGCTATGGCGACTTTGGAGACAGCTCACAACTACAATCCGACATTCTTAGGATTGGGTACACAACTTGGTATCGCCGCGTCTATATCGTTTTATTGTTTATTACAGTTTGAATGGAACCGAAGGAAGAAATCCATGCAATATTTATATACGCCAAGAGCTCGATTGGCAAAGTAAGTATATTTGGTCTCTTTTATAAAATGTGTCAAGCAGATATGCGTCGAAGTCCTCTTTTAGATTCTGAAGACTTGACAATAAGATAAGACGATGTGAATAACGATATTATTGTTGGCACTAAACTAGTTTGTCGGATCAACATAATATATTGACTTTGATAAATGGGATTCACTTATTGAGTTTCTATATTAACCTATTATCTCAATTTAGGAATTCGTCACCTCCAATTCCGGGAGGTCTCTTTTCCTGGATTCCAGCAACATTGTTTTTACCAGAAAAATTCTTTCTAACGCATGTCGGTCTAGATGCAGTAATGTATATTCGATTTCTCAGGATGGCAGTCGTCTTTTTGGCTTTCAATGTAGTTATAGTAGGAGCAATCCTATTACCATTAAATTACTACGGTGGAGCTGATATGAAGGGTGTCCAAGCGCTATCAATCAACAACATCGCTGGAACGAACGAAAATTATTTATGGGCACACGCAGTCTGCACATACATTATAAGCGTAAGCTGGATGTATTTATTGTATCACAACTACTTCGATTTTGTGAAAATGCGCAAGGAGCATTACAAGCAGAAAGTAATATCGGGATCAGTGAGCATACGAACAGTGATGGTGTCTAGAATACCTGAATATATGCGATCGGAAGATAAGCTTAAGGAGTATTTTGAATCACTTGGATTAGCACCAGTAGAATCAGCAAGAATTGTAAGACATACAGGAAAACTGAATAGAAAGATCGCCAGAAGAGATGACAAATTGCTTGCGCTAGAAAAATCACATATACTGTTGGCAAAAAATGTCGTCGCTGCCGTTGATACGAGAGGACTGTTGGGTTTTGGAAACGTTTTCCGATCATTTTTATCCCGTAAATCGAAAAAAGAAAGGCTTCCTACTACTGACATTGAGGGTGATGATGTATTAGATAGTCAGTTACTGCAGTCTACGGCTGAGTGGATGAGACGTCGTAAGAATTCTAGCAGCATTTCTACCGAAAAATCGAGTTCATATCAGTCCCCTACAAATACTTCATCCGCTGTACAAGTTTTTGGGCGTGGAGGTTGTCGTGGCACGATCTGGGAAATTCTTTCTCAAACTCCCAAGACTGTTCTTGACAAGTACCAACCTACTCATTGGCCCGGTTATCTTACTACTGATAACCGAGTACGGTCGATTGACCATTTTTTGAAAGAGTTTAATCATCTTGACAGACGTATTGCTGAATTAAGAGCGAAAAATATCACAGAAGGCCCTTACAGGCCTACTTCTACTGGGTTTGTTACTTTCAAGTTACATACGACTGCTGCTATGGCTGCTCAGAGTATTGCGTGCTCCCGTCCACATACGCTTACTACTAAGATGGCGCCGGAGCCCAGAGACATCTTGTGGGATAATCTGACGAAAAGATTCAACAACCAGATGGCAAGATATCTTGTAGTTAACCTTTTTGTTTGGTAAATATCTGGCTTGTTATGTCATCCCGCATGATTTAAATATATTACTCCCGGTTTGATATCCACTAACTGCATTCTATTTTTAGGGCGTTGACTATATTCTGGTTATTTCCCATTTTAGCCATCTTAACTCTCACGTCTATAGATTCACTATCAAAGCGTATCTCTATACTTGGACCTTTCCTCGAGGCTTCTCCGTTAATTAAGGCTCTTCTACAGAATGTATTGCCTACCGTACTTGTCTCTATATTCATGGGTATATTACCGTGGATACTAATGGAGATATCAAAGAGAGAGGCATTTGCTAGCTATTCTAAACTGGAAGAGACAGTATTGAAGAGATACTATTACTTCTCGTTCTTCAACGTCTTTCTCGTGTTCCTGTTGGGTATTACCTTCCTAGAATCAATCTTCGATATTATTAACACACCAACAAGTATCATCCAAATCTTGGCCAACAGTTTACCGCAGGTGAAAAGCTTACTATCGACATGAATCTATGGCTTCCATATATAACATTGTGCAACTTCTAACACTTGAATACTTTTTTCCTTTTAGGGAGCAACATTTTTCATAAACTACATTATTTTTAATACCTGTACCCACGGATTAGAACTGCTCCAAGTCGGCTCTCAAATATTTCTTCATATTTTACTCACCACTCGCTTTGTTTCATCAACACCGCGAATGTTACAACGTGTGACGTCCCCATGGAACTTCCAATACTATTATTATTACCCTATGCATATACTCGTACTCGTAATTACCATTACGTACTCAACTGTCAATCCATTGATTCTCTGCTTCTCCCTTGTATATTATAGCATAGCCTACGTAATATTCAAGCATCAATTCGCATATTGCTATGTCAAACGATATGAAGCAGCCGGCAAATTCTATCGACTAGTATTCCGGTACACAACTGACGGTTTAGTCATATATCAAATAACTGTTCTAGGCTTAATATGGCTACGTGGAGCTATTGCCCCTGGTGCTTTCTTAGTGCCTTCGGTTGTGGGAACGCTCTATTTTAAATTTTATTGTCACAAAACGTTCTACTCGAGGACGCATTATTTAGCACTAGACACTATACTTGACTTTAGAGAGGAAACTCAAAGTGAAAATCGTGCAAGCAGCAGGCAACTGGACTATCAAAGCAATGGTGATAGAGTTGAGGAAAGGAATAGATCAGCCATAATATCGTCGGCTTCTCAACATGATGAAACCAAGCCAGATTCACAGAAAGCTTCCTTAGAGGCTTATAAAATAACAAAACATTCGGATGAACGCAACGAGGCAATTGATATATCGATTTCAAAATTACCAAAAATATCTAATCAAAGAAAAACAAATGACGGTTTTCAACGTCTAAATGACGAGAAGAATACTGAGCACAGTGGTATTGAAAATAACCAGACTGATGCAACTTCTGATTGTCTTACTTTATCTCAGAAACATTTAAAAAGTTCAACTACTCCACGTGGATCGATGGATAAAAAAAGTATGTCGCAGAAGAGTGATAGCGAGAGTAAATTGTTTAATGGAAGGAGAGGAAGCAAGCCGCTTGTTAGAGCCAGTCGCCCGTTATCTTTGGATCTCACTCGCGGAAATCGAGATGACGGCACAGCTGGCGACAATTCACCGTCGACATTGATAGCCATCACCAATCCTGGCACACCAGTATCTGATTCGTCTAGCACCAAATTGGATGTTGTGCAACAAAGTAATGTGGACGTGAATTACATCGAGTCTGGCCCTAAGCCTGAAAAAGTTTCTGAACTCACAGTACCGCCTAAACCGGAACCATCTCAAGCGATTTCTTCATATACATCCGACAAAAATGTCGTGTTTGAAACTGCAAACTTGGAAAGAAAACGAAACTCGTCCAGACGCAATTCGTATCTTACGAGAAATCGTCTACTTACTGCTCACGACCCAAGTCGTCAGTATATAAATGATGACTGTTCACCGTACCAAACATACCTTCATCCCAATCTCGTAAAGGCACTGAATCGTAAGCTATGGCTTCCAACTGATCCTCTTAAACAGATCGCGATAGAGGATACGATTGAACTTGATCGAGCAATAACTTCCAGCGAAGGTGGTTATGGCACTGTTGGATACTGGGGCGGAGTCTCTGGATTTCTAGGCCAGGCGTTAATTAGTCCTAACGATACAAATACAAATCCTATATTTCCGTTCACCGAGCGTGCGAGCGAAGTTGAACATCAATGTCAAACAACAGGGCGAGAAAATGATGCTAATGATTGCGGGATTGAGATAATGTGTGATGCGGAGATTGCGGAGCTGTCGGAATGTGAAGGAAACTCGAGTGGGGATTTGTCGAGTGGAGAAGAGTTTTGAATATGTGAAAACGATGACATGGTTTTATGATATTCTATGTGTAAATAAGCACTCAAAATTATGTAGTCAATATTCTACGAGTTGTTGGACAGGGGGTAATACTTAATTAATCACATAGGATTTTGCATTTGAACAATGTAAATAAAGCATCTTGGTCCACGTGATCGAAATTAATTTCATAATCGAGCTACTTTGTAAACATCCATCAAGTCCAATGTCCGATACACTTGAAAGTTATATATGGCGTACTATTTCAGTATTTCTCAGAGGCAAAGGTATCCGGAATAACGAAAAAGCAAAAGGCTTGGCAAATGGTAGAATATATAAGCTTGCGAGCGTTATCGGATATCCCAATGCATAATGGATCATTAACAGTATTAATATGCTCCTCAAAGATATTTTAGCTGTTGCAACCGGAATTCGGTATGATTAGAATTTTAGTGAGCTAGCTGCTTTCATCTGTGTTGAGTACAATAAGGTTAACCCGAGACGCATAGATCGTCTACGCTTGTCGATATAGTCTTTTTGACTAGCGAGGATGCACGCGATCTCAATTCTAAACTAGAGGATGTAAAGTAATTAATCGCTTTAATCATCTCGTAAAAACCTGTATCATCATCATCACCTTTTGCTAATGTATTTGCATACTCATACTGTCAGGAATATCTCTGCGCATTGTTTATGTGTTGTTCAGTTTGCTGATTCACACACGTTCATATGTAATTCCACTTTACTCGGACAAAGGCTTGACGCAAAGGAGAGTCTTGCGTTTGTTAACGTTAACAAGGCAATGAAAATTCCGCAGGTGGTCAAAAACGTTAAAATTTCAGTTATATATATATTTGCGCGTTCTATTCACGTTCTCACCATATCATGTTTCTCCCAACTTGCAGCTTGGCACGTTCCCACCAGACCTCTATTCTTTTATTTTCGACGAGCTCGACCCTTTTTTATCCTCGACAAGGGATTCGTCGTCAATCTTGGCTATCCCATCAATGCCAAAGTGCATGGTATCTATATCCGGATGGTTGCTGGAATACCCCGTCATATATTTCCAGGATGATGTAGAGGATGACCGAGGAAATTGTTTGGGAAATGTTGATTTAAGAGTATGTAGCGTATACCTTGGAAAGCAAAACAGTGAAACCAGGTAAATGGGTGTGGACCCCCCGGTCAAGCGTTTTGTGATGACGCGAGTGTCTAATGTCGATTTTCTAGTTACAAGTTGCTTAGTTTCAGCTATCCCAAGACGTTGATCTCGGAAATCAAGGAAGCTGCGCTTGTTAATAGAATGCAACTGGTCTATAACTCGAGACTGAAAGGACAGCATATCTGGAATGAGTCATGCATTATACGTATCACTGATAGAACATTATCGATTGTAGCATTGTGAATATGATGAGAAAAAAAAAGGATAACCAAAAATTATATGTCTTTACGATATCCTTTGCTCAATGCACTAAACAAATTTGTGGTTTTTGTTAGTCGATACCATGTAATTGCCATCCTGATATCTCCTGCTCGGCCTAGTTGAATGGCAAACTTTCCATCAAAGTCTCAGGAAAATAATTGCCTTCTTTCACACGTAATTTTAGCATACGACGCGGGCGTCGCAAAGTAGGAGTCCTGAATTCGGAGTTTAAGGCCCTTGCTCGGAAGTACGTTGTTTATTGCTGGCGTGACGACAAAATTAAAGAAAAAATACGCTCTCATTATTAATGTCTTTGTGGGCAAGCTTTCGACCGGCATTCTTCCAGCATTCTTCTAGTGACTGAAACTTCCTGCCGATTCATTGTACATTTGTAGCCGAGGTAAACTATTCACAAACGTGAATAAAACTTAAAATCACTATTCTCTTTTCTTATGATTTTCGTATTTTCTGTAATGCTAAATATGGTGCAAAGAAATAATCATCGAATGAATTCGAAAATGTGGGGCTTTGTCCTTTCTTTGATCGGATTAATCGCGGCAATGCGCGGAGTTGAATCTTTAACTAAATAAGGAAAGACATTAATTGTATGCGTTTAAAGGGGATATGTCAGTATTAGTATGTAAATTGCGCAATATTGTTTAATATAAATATCAGTAGTGTTTATGGAAACTTGTATTGGATTGATTGATTGTCATGTTATCAAATCAGATAAGATTAGATCAATTTACATCTGACCTGCTGATAACCCATATATAGCATTATAATAATTTACCAACCTTGGAACGCATCATTCACCTTTGCAAAACAATGCCATAGTTCTGACATGTTGGTTGGCTGGTGGTCATAATTCTTTGCTCCACGTTTGTTGTGTGTTTCATTGGTGCTCGTACCATTACGTGTGCAATGCATAACATGTGAGTAAGATTGTTACTTTTTTGTTGTAGTATTATAAATCTTTGTTGTCATCACAGAAAGTCAAATCTATTGGCGCAACTCATTAGTAACCTTTTTGAAATTGCTTAGGAAATGTAGGACAAGGGGAGATCAGTCTTTGCCGGATGACAATAATGATCAGGTCGACAAATACATTATGGTTGGCTTTTATTTTATCTTTTCTGATCATAACAACTTAGTCATTGTATATTTACCGATCCCTATTTTTTGAACATATGACTGGCCTCATCTGTCAATGTCTTTCTTTAATGGAAACATTTATTAGTCTTCCTACAATTGCTCAAAAAGAACTTGGAAAACTTTGTTGTTTACAAGCACATTTTCCGACATTCTTAGAACTAAATACATACAATTATTAATTTAATGCTCGACAGTTATTTGTTAAATTCAAAAGTCATTGTCTGGCAGGTTCGCATGTCCGGATGCAGATAGACAAAAACAAAACAATAAAGCGGATCAGGCAGTAGACCACCAACAATTTGACTCATATCGTTAATGAACGAAATTTGTTTGTTTTGAAACAATAAAATTTTACTAAAACGGCAAAGATACCAATAACCCTTCTAATTGTGTCTTTGATTAGATTTATTTAAAGATTTTTTTCTTCTTCTCGATGAGTCATATCTGATACATCTGACATCAGTAATTGTTTTTAAACGCAAGGGATGACTTTTGTGATAGCGCCATTATTGTAATAGGGCTGGGATAGATTAGTTTCATGTCTACTTATGATGCTTAAAAGACAACTATACTGTTGATTCAATGGTGTAAGACTTTAATGGCGGAGCACTATTTTATGGTAGTACAAATTGTGAGTTCATCTTCTGTCAACGCCTGTGCTATTTTAAGATCATATTCATAACGACCGTACCCGAACAAAGTAGTTTCCATTTATGACTATTTCTAACAGAATTATTTTTACTTGCCTGTTGTCACACACTTGCTGAATTGCCACACTGCCCTCACGAAGTATTGTGTCACGGATGGTTTTCAAAAATTGCGTACGGATAGCCGCTAAACAGAGCCTTTTCGTTTTGTAAAATTGGCGAGCGAACGAGGGTGGTAGTAAACAGAAATACAGGAAATAAAAACAACGACATATAATCGAATGGTTGCTTTATATTCTCGTCCTCAATCGTTTGAAGCAATAACTTTTTATTAACGTTAGATTTTCCCCAAACTATACATCTTCTCCAGCGATAAACTGTTCAAATTCATAAATGCTCGAGTAGAAACCATCGTTCGAGTAGTAACTACCATCGTTCGAGTAGTAACTATCATCGAGTAGTAACTCTCCCCTTCTTAATGACGGGGATTATCTGTATTTGATTGTAATTGACTTAATAGGAAGGCGTGGTGTTACCGTTTCGTGCAAGGGAATGTTTGCATAGCCGAGAGAGCAAATTGGGGGAAAAAAGAGAGAATAAAACGTTCGATATAAACATGAACGCTGTGTTATGCAATATGCGGTGCAACTGTCATAGTTGAAGAACAAACCATATAATTATGGTAGTCTGGTTACAATGCGTGGTTGTTATATGCGAACATTCGATAACTGTGGTAATGCAAAATACAGAACCCATTGTCAATATTAATATCGGCAGACGCTAAAATTAGAGTTTATTGGATTTGGAAAATACAATTGTTATGCATACCAACACTTGTTAAACAATTTGGTATCGACGGACCCTATGAAACCGTTTAATGAAATACCCTTACCGTGGAATAAGCGCCTACGGTTTAATAAGGAACGATGCCTGGTTAACTTTGCATGCGGTCGAGATGAATTAGGTATTAAAAGGCGACCGCTGGAGTAGAACTACTGTTTATGTTAAGTATTAACTTTGTTGCACCACTCGGTCCTTGTGTGAAGACCCGTCAAGTTTAACATTTGAAACTCTAACTTTGAGCATGTGGAATGATGAACAAAGTAGTAATTTGAAATATCGAGTTTATGGCTTAGAAAACCTGCAAGTTTTCTCAAGTACAAAGCTGTTGTTCTCCAATCATTATGACATCGAAAAATTTCTCATTTCAAAGACTCGTCAGAACAAAGACCGCAAACGACTATATCGACTATACCTTGATGCCAAGAGCAAAGTAGTAATGAGAGACTGCTGCGCCAGAAGAACAGGATTATCTCGCTTATAATGCTTTACCCCCACACTGTTTTTCTTTATATGGCTTTTGTCATTTGGGTGGCTTGCATTTTGGGGGGGTTGATAATTTATTTATGCGTAATAGTAAACAAACCATTTTATTTGTTTGTCACTGTAAATTTACTTATTATTATATCTAATTATTTTATTTATATGGAAAATCAATGCTAATTTCCAATTGGATTGCTATGATCGAGTGTACATATAAATACACCCCACCCCACCTCACCTTTGTTCCCACAACGAAAAAATAAATCAACCTTTTTTAATAGTCGTCAGAATTAATCAACGCAATCAAAGACTGATTCGACTTTTGACTTTTGCAGCCAAATACTGCATTTCCTGTTTACATAGAACTTATATTTATTCACCCAAAAACTTGCATAGAATGATACACAAGCTTATATCTTCCCGGATCAACAAAAACTCGAGTATTTCGTCCATTACATCCCTCATTTCTCTCCCAAACGAAATACTTCTTCTAATTTTCGAATCACTTGACATAATTTCCCTTCTCGCTCTTTCCGACACATGCAGACGATTTAATGCTTTATCATATACTCGACTCCTTTCATTATTCGCATCGCCAGACCTTACATTAAAATTCTCACTCAACCAAGAATACAAATGGCAACCCCAGGTTGATTTATCCTTCTCACACTTTGACGCCGATACCCAAAATCTGGTCTTTAAACCCAAAAGTCAGACAGCGCTAACATTCTACAACTCGGCAGTTTTGCGCAAACCTAATCTGTGCAATATAAGCCTGATTCAAGGGATCAACGAAAATGGAGAACCACGTTCGTTAAAAGAGAATTTGCTGCAAAAGTCATATTCACTCTCGATTAAGCCAATCGGAACATTCCAGCAGATACATAAAGTCTATCGAAGAGGAAAGGGCACTAAGCATATGCCCTTGTCGTATACATTCTCATACACTGTAAGCCCTCCAACAGAAGAATCGTTATCAAAAACGGGCAACAGGGAAAGATTGATTACACTCATCGAATTCTCTTGCCCTGTTGGGTTTTTCTATCCGCAAGCAACAACTGCTCAGAAGATCATTGGAAACCTATTTGGTAGACGGCGAGGGAAAAAGAAAGTAAAGAAGTTGTCAACCACGACATTAATCGACAGTAAAATCCATTTGGATAAGAGCTGCGAACAGACGAGCGAAATCGCACGTGCCCTCGAGTTGATGGTGGTGAATATATGATAACCAATTATAATGGTTGATGGACATTGGGATTCTATTATTTATTAGAGCATATCCGGTTTTGATTATTTTTAGATCATGTTAGAAAAAAAAAATGGAGCAAAATAGTCTTCAATATTTCATATTACCTGTGCTGTTGCCAATGTAGATTTGTATATAATACATATAATATATTGTTATGAGACAATGAGACATGTCCTCGAATAATGAAATTATTAATAATCGTATTCTCGTTGTACAACCGACATTGTTAATTATGACTTCAGGAGTCAAGCTGTCGTGATACATACACCATTGATTGGATTAGCAAGTCAAATCAACAAAACCTTAATTAATTAAATCGAAAATTCGGAATTGAACAAATTCGTATTATTAATCCGATTTGAGCGAGAAAGGAAAAAATTCACGGACTTTTGGTTCAAAAAACACTGAATAAAACACATAGAAACACACACACGACGGCTTGTAAATCAGTGTTTGAAATTGCCCATCATTTTAATCATAAATTCAAAGCGAGTAAATTTTGATTTATGCTTATCGTTGATTGTTAATTCCATGTCGATCTATTATGTTTCAATTGGTCATACAGTCCGCTGCTAAATTTTTAAGCGCTCAATGAAATTTGGTTAGACCTTCGAGCTGCCAAGAAGTGATATTTCTTTAAATCGTAATTTGTAAGGTGCGACACCTCCAGCTTTTGCACTACAAACAGCGCTCAACTCCTCCTAGATATACCATTTAATGTATATTTACGTAATCCCATTTCTTCCCAGCACCTATCTCGACTTTCTTGCAGACAACTGAATCATCTTGAGTAAATTTTTCTTGTTTTGTGACAGCTCCACAATTACGATTATTATTAAACTCTTCCGTTTACTAATCGAATGTATTGTTTTTACCTTAGATACAATTTTATTAGCGCTTGCTCTAACTCTGAGCTTTGTGGGTTTGTTTCTTTATGTCTAAATTTTTTTTTTTTCAGTTAGCCATCACGCTCGTTGTCCCTATATTATTCACTAACACCCTTAAACACTCGGTGTATTTTTTTTCTTCCAAAGTTATTAAATGCAACAAGTTGTCAATATTGGGATACAGTAGATACAGATGTTAAGTAGATAACAGTCAATGAAAATCGTTCCTTATAGTTGTCGATAAAAGACCGTTAAGCGCACACGTTGAGCTTTGATTCGCGTTTCGCTACTTTGACACAGTTGTAACCAACGAGTCAAATAGCAACAATAATTCGATTTTTTGTAAACGTAATTTTATCATAGAAATGCAACCGCTCTTGAATAACAAGAATAATTGCATGGGAAGAAATTACTCGGTTCCAAAACCATTAATAAGTAGAACAATTTTTTTTTTGCCACCTTGATGCAAATATTTGTTTGTTTGTGTTTGTTTCGTTTTCGTTATCTTCGTAGTTTTACACCTCTGGTTCATTTTCCGTGGAGTTGTTCTTTGAAGACAATATTTTCTTGTTGTAAATGTAGCAATGGCTTTCTGTGTGTTGAGCAATTTATCGATTATAAATACTATTTTATCTGAATAAAAAAAATCAGTTTTTTTGTCATATAATTATTCTAGATCATGGCAAGTACATTTTTGTTTGCTGACTTTACAGCCTCAATTAACCGGGTGGAATTACCATTACTGGCATGCCATTCTAGTGACAGACTAACAACAACACTCAACAAAAAAAAAAATCGCTTGAGAATATAAGCATTTTTGTAAAGTGTTATTAATAAAAATTAATCAATTCTGTCGAATCAATACACGTGGGAGAGCGTGCGTATATTGATCTTGAGATTGATACGGAAGGGCGCTCTTTTCGCTTTTACCGGTGATAGAAAATCTTTCCAGAAAATGATCAACTACATTTTTTAAATATCGTTACAAATAACGAGAAGTTTTGCAGACACTAGACAACTTATACACAATAAACCTACTTTTAGTATGTTTGGGTAACTATAACATATAGAAAAATATACAGTACAGCAGTAAACCAGATAGAGAGAAAAGATAATAGATAAATATCGAAATCCCAAGACCATAACATATAAAGGGGGGGGCAGGAAAGATTCTCATAGCCCAATCCTCTGCTCTTCAAACTACTCAACGCCTAACAATGCTACGTCAGCTGCAATGCCGACAACGGAATTCATAACATGAGGTAGTTGATCAGTACCAGTAACCTCCATGTCTGATCCTTCCGATCGTATTGAATCCATAACTTCGTTGGCGAGTGTAAGAAACACTGCCTTGTTAACATCGTCTGTGGCACGCCATACACGCGCTGCTATCTGCGTCATAGTGTGCGGCATAAGGGTCTCTCCGTGCGTTTTTAATTCTCGAAGAAAGCGGTTCCTGAAGACCAGGAAGCCATTGATCTTTTTCGGCCTTCTTCTTTTAATCTCGTCCACCGTAGGCAAGTCAAAGCAGATACGGTTCCGTATACCATCAGACTCGTACACTATGGCAGCTACCTTATTAGTTCCGGCTAACCCGATGTTAAAAATTCCAAGATTGAATGGAGGACGTATTCAACAGCCATCGTTTGTGTCATAACCAATCGGGTTAGTACACAGTTTACATCATGGGAAAACAATAAGAATAACCAATCGGATTTGTGCACAGTTTTACATCATGTGAAAGAAAACAAGAATAACAATCGGGATAATATCTTGTCACATACTGCACGCGTTTTTTTTTCTTTTCGCCACCTAAACTTTCGCACACAAATCTATGTTATTATTATCTGACATCTGCGAACCTGGACCTAGATTTGACACTGTTTATACCGGAATATCTCTATACCGGCCGGACGGACTTGATTCTTGCGCACTGTTCGTTCATACCAAATTTATTATGCGGCACAATTCGGTAGCATAAATTGACATACATAGCCGTCTTGCTGTTTGAAAGATATTTGGAATAGCCCGGCTTTTGATTCCGAACTTGCAAAGACATTAAACGAGGGGACGTACCAATTGAGATTATTACATCACCAGGCATCCGGTACTACAAATGAACTCTTTCTTTGGCTGCTTTCACTCTACATAAACACCAAACCCCATGAAAATTCTTTGTTTATACCGGCGTCTCTATAATGCTTCCTCACCATTTTCTTCCTCCAAATACAACAATGATGCAAGCAAACCTGCTGCCAAATTCGAAATGGTATGAACCACAACGGAGCACAAGGGAGGCTCTTGTATACTTGAAGGAGTCCCTAATACTAAAGGGTGTAGATATACCCTGGGAGATACTTTGTGGACTCTAATACAGTCAACCCTCTTTACAGTCACCCCCTCTATAAGCACATCATATAAAAACCTCTTTATAAGCACACCATGTTTGAGAACCAATTACTATTGAACTTATAGAAAAAACCCTCTATATAGTCACAACCTCTTTATAAGCACATTTTCAGCAAAAGTTGCATTGTCCCTGACAGCATGACTATAGAGAGGGTTGACTGTAATCTAGAGCTTCAAGGTAATACGAACTTTCCATATACTAAATAGGCTACCCAAGGGATTAAGTTCCGTAGAATTATATTAATTAATCGATGTAGAGTCAACTGCCTTTAATTCGACTGTCTGTCATCGGTCGAATTAACGACAGACGTACTTAAAGAAGAACAAAAATCGGGTCTTGCTCAAGGCGATTGAATTACTGGGAAAGTCGAATTATTGGAAGTCGAATTATCGGCAGTTGACTGTACGCGATCTCCAAGTTAATAAAGCATATTAGAGTAATTGAATAATTTATGATAAATGATGACGTTCGTTAAATTTTTGTTGGGGTGTACGGGTAAATAGAAAACTAGGCAATCGAGTCAACTCTTCGTTGATATTTATTATTATATCGTGACAGCTTTATTAAGATCTGCTCTTTGAACTTTCATATCGATTCTGATAGCGACGATTTCCATAGCCAATTGGTATAGTCAAATTCAAATCGTGCTTGATATTTGTGTCAATTTTTTGCACACACATTGGCAACGCTTACGTTTAACAAACATGTAAATTATATGAGCATGGATTCTTGGTTGATGGTTTAGTGATGATTGATGACGAAAATCGATTTCGCGTCTTCGAAGAATCAAGCGAATTGGTATATCCAAATTCAAATCGTACTTAATATTCTTCATCAATTTTTTGCACACATCGGCAACAATTACCATTAACAAATATGTGGATTTTACGAGCATTGGATTCTTGGTTGTTGCCTTATTCCGGATTATGACGAAAATCGATTTCGTGTTCAAGCGAATCGGAATATCGAAATTTAAATCGTACTCAATATTCTGTGTCAATTTTTGGTATACACCTCGACAACAGTATCATTAACAAGTATGTGAATTTTACGAGCATTGGGTTCTTGGTTGTTGAGTTAATAATGATTGATGACGAAAATCGATTTCCAAATTCAAATCGTACTTAATATTCTGGGTTAATTCATTGCACACACGTTGGCAACAGTTACGCTTAACAAACTTAATGATAAAAGAGGTTAGTCAAAAACACACTCTTCATGACTAGTAATGCAACTTGTTCTCGCAAGGTATGTACATGGTTTGTACATCGTGATTTTCATGGCGGAGACATTGTTTTACGTGAATGTGAGACAGGAACAGAATTTCGTACAAGTCGCGCATATTATGCGACCTTGGTCTCTCCCAATCGCGAGTCAAATTCAACAATTCGAGGCGTTTTGCACCGGAAGTCTTCTATAATGACAAATTTACTCAGAAATCAGACATATTAATATTAATATAGGCGTCTGGTATTATTATGTATTTGATGAACCATCTTTCGATATTATGGGCCACCGATGCCCGATTCGGCACCAGAGGCATATAAGAAACTTACATCCAACAATACGCGCACCTCTACGGTTTAATCGTAAAGACACAAGCGATAGGTCTGACGTATGGAAATACCATCCATCTATCATACGTAAGACCTTTATCAAGTCTCGAAAAGGAGAATAAATATTCTGGTAAGCATTTTACCACTAGAAATCAAGAAACAGTTATAATTTCGACTTGCATTCATCCGAAATGCCGTTTATATTGTCGTCTTTCCTATAATTTACAATAAATTCTGCGTTTATCTTATAAAAGAAAGTTATGCTCAATTTTAGCGCCCCGCTTTGTTGCTCGCGATACTTCTATCTGGTGTACGAGTAATGTACAGTACTTTAACGGCAGTATAGGCGTTGTTACAACCAATAAACTCATTACCAGTTTCATAAACTTTAAATAATGTACTCTATATTTAATTCAAACGATCTGCCCCGGCTAATTTCAAAGAAAAATTTAAATCCACCCGCAATTGACCCCTTTCCATCGATTTTATTTCATATTGACATACATGGAAGCAATAGTATATAAGAGTCGCAAACCCTTTAAAACTGTAAATACACCGCGAATTACAAGTTTATTCGAGAGAGTGAGTCACTAAATCATAAGCAATGGATGATGTTAATATTGTATATTGACTTCATTGATAACCAATTGTTGTCTTCATACCTGCAGCCGAATCCATATCATAGCTATTTCTTGGTTTAATATTAGGCAGATCTCCAGTAGGTAAGAGCGTACTAGAATATTTACTCTCCTTTTCGAGACGTGATAAGGGTCTTACATCATTATGATAAACGGCATTCCATATGTCAGAATTGTCGTTTTTCACCTTTCTAATAAGTTTGTCAATATCAATCCAAAGTGTCCCTCCTTCCTCCGGACGCTTATCAGGATCAGCATCACAACACCGCTCGGCAAGTTTCTTGTATTCCTCTGGTGCGGAATCAGGCATCGA